GCCTCTCCCTCTCTCTCTCTCTCTCTCTCTCTCTCTCTCTCTCTCACACACACACACACACACACACACACTCATTGAAGCCCTAGATCCTGATTGAGGATGGTCCTTGCCCCTATGTCTGGCCAGCTGCAGGGCTAGCTCCAGCCAGAGGCCAGGGCCACTGGACTAAGACCCAAGGCCACGACCCCATGCCCATTCCTACACATGAGCCTGTCGTGGTAACTGGGAGCCTTCCAGAGCCTGGCCTGGGGTGTGCCCCAGATTCTCCCTCTCTCTGAATATAGGCAAACTCTTAAAGGCAGGATCCATGGCCACTTCTGTGTCTGTGCCCATGCTGTTCCTCCGCCTGCCATGCCCTTCCATTCTCCCAGTGAAACGAACTTCAACTTCAAGGCCCAAGTGGAAGGTCTCCTTAGGGAAGCCTTCCTCAGCCCTCCTTCCCAGAGGAACACTGTGTTTACGCTGAAAGCACCTACGTCCTTCCACAGGTCCTGGCCCAGGCACACAGTCCAGTTCATTATGTCTGAGCCCTGCTTCCCCCTCCTGGCAGGAAGCAGGACTGCATCGCAGCTGACCTGTGCCTAGTACACTAATTCCTAGGGAACCCTGGAGCGTTGGGACTGGTAGCACTGGGCCCAGCACTGGTGCTGCTGCATCTAACACCTCTTCTTCCCCACGCAGCTGCGAGGAGCTGTGCCCACCTGGGAGCCACGGGGCTCACTGTGAGCTGCGCTGCCCCTGCCAGAATGGGGGCACCTGCCACCACATCACTGGAGAGTGTGCCTGCCCCCCAGGATGGACGGTAAGTGGGCCCGGGTGGGGTACTGTAAGAGGCCCGAATGTCATTCACTAACACCCTGGAGGGCTAAATTCCTCTCCCACCCTAAATAGCCTCCCTCCTATTTATAGTCATAGGCATCATTAGACACTGCCTTGGACACAGCTTTGAATCCCAGGTCTACAATCTAAGTGCTGTGTGTCCCGGGTCAAGTTACTTGACTTCTCTGAACCTGTGGTCCATCACGTGAAAAGTTGTTGAATTCTTCTCATAGATGGGCTCTGTCTTGGGGCCTAGGTACTCACTTGAGCTGCCATGGGTTCTGGGCCAGAAGTGGCAGAAAGGGCATGGTGTACGGATGGAAGAGGTAGGGAGACAGCAGGGTATGGATCACCTGCATTTGCAGAACTTCAGGTTCCCAGCCTCCAACCCCTACATTCACACACACACACACACACACACACACACGCTGATTCTGTGGACCCAAGAATCTGCATTTTAACAAGTGCTCCAGATGATTCTGATGCAGCCTCAAGCAATCCAAGTCTCGTGTCTGGGAACCACCCTTGTGGGAAGGCAGTGGGATTTATAATTTCACAGGCCTAAATTTAGGTCTCACATTCAATGCTGTCCCTATAAAAACCCTCGGGTACTCTGATCTCTGCCTTCCCATCTGCAAAATGGGCATAATAACAGGCAGCCCCGCCCTCCTTAGCTGCCGTGGCTGGCAGAAGGCTCAGAGGAGGCAGTGCATGTCCAAAGTGCCTTGAAAAGTCAAGTGCTCTGCACGTGTTTGTGTTATCTGGATGCCACAGACAATCCACAGCCGCCTTTTAGCCAAATGCCCCACATGCCCGTGCCCCTCCTCACTGTCCATAGACCCACGCTCCTCAGAAGCAGCGAGTCACTGACGTTCCTGTTTGGGGGAAGCTCTGTGACAGCTGGGGGCCTCATCCTAGGGTCTGAAGCTTTGCAAAGCCCCAGAGGATAGGGCTGCTGAGTAGGAGCTGAATATTTCAGGAGGCTGTGCCCGTCTAGGTCACAGCGGGCAGACAGGAGGGACGCCTGCAGGGCCCATTGACACAGGTACAGGTTGGCCAGAGTTTTTTAGGGCAGGAAAGGACCTGGGGGATCATCTGGCCCAGCAGCACCCAAACCTGGCTGCACACTAGAGTCGCGGGTCCTGTGTTAAACGCAGATTCCCAGGCTCCACCAGAGACCTTGTGGGGCCCAGTGAACTCAATTTTTAATAAGCTCCCAGCTGATTCTGCGGCAGCCAACTGTGTCTGCAGCTCTGCATTTGGAAATAATTGATCGAGACCATAGGAGTTCCTTCTGTGTTTCACAGAATCCTTGGGTTTCTTGAGGGTGAGAGTGGGGGCGGGAGCCTAATAATTAGGCCTCGGGCGCCCACACACTCCCACTTCTCCATTTTAATCTATGCGTACTTTCTCTGTTGAGGTTCTAGGGGAGACTTCTCATAAAAACAGGGTCTCTCAGCTTTAAAAAGGTTTGAACACCACTGGTCTATCAATACCTTCCTTTCCCAGGTGAGGAAGCCAAGGCCCAGAGAGGGTAAGTGACCTGCCCAAGGTCACACTGCTGGTTAGGAGGGAGGTGGAGCTAGAATCCAGGCCTCCTGACTCCTGAATCCCAACCCTTGGTGTCTGTCTGTCTGTCTGTCTGTCTCTCTGTCTCTTCTGAGGAGACAGAGGGGCTGCTGCCACCTCTCCCACCTGACCCACGCTCTGGAAACGCCTTCTTATTGGCAGCCAGCTTCCAGAATCCCTCAGAGGCCCAGCGGCAGGCAGTGAGGTCAGATCAAGACGATCAGGACGTGGTCCCAGAGAACAGGCCCTGTGGCTGTAAAGGACTCTAGAGAGACTGACAGAGGCTAGGGATCGAAGCCGGTGAAGGGAGGAAGCCAACACATGGAGAGATGTGTTTTTGTCCCCAGCACAGTGAGAGGTTTGTTCCTCCAGAAGACAGGAAATTGTCAATAGAAGCTTTGGATTTGGGGACTTTATGTTTTTAATTTTATTGTAGACGATTGCATTTCTATTTTTGACACAGCATTTAACTTGCCGATTTGTATGAATTATTAATACCCCTCGGGTATGCAGAGTCCCGGTGCCAGAGGCCCCTCCCAGAGAGGGTTGGGGCCAAGGAGAGGGTGCTGGGCAGAAGGGTCCTCCCTTTTTCCTCCTCCAGGGCCTCACTTTCCTTTGGCCCCTGTTTGTGTTATCTGGATGCCACAATCAGATCTAAAGGCTACAGTTGCTCACTCACACAGTGCAGCTCCCCAAGGAACCGAGGCATTGTGCAGAGCTGGAGAGGAGCTGCCAGGAACCTGGCCCTCCAGCACCCGCGCCCCCCCCGGGGATTCCTGCCACCAGGCCCTGAGTGTACCCATGGGACACTTCACTTGCCCAGCTGTGCTGAGCCCATTCCAGTGGACGGCTTTGCAAAGAGCCTGGGGAATTATTTCCTCTCTTTTTCTGAGCTCTCAGACCTTTCAGAGGAGAGAAACCAGGTGTGAGTAGCTTGATGAGAGCAGGCACTGCAGATGGACGTGGTGGTTGAAGATGTGATCACCCCCATTAGGAGTTCCCAGTCTGATGGAGGAGGCTGGCTATAATGTGTGCATGTACCCATGCACAGACACCCTCACACACATGAAAACAACAGGCCCGAAGAGGGAGGATCAGTTACCATGGAGGGCCAAGGAGAGGTGTTTGGAGCTGAGGTTGTGGAATCATAGAAGCTCGGGTTTGAGGAGGATGATTCTGAAGCCCCATGCCCTGGCCTGTGGCCCCGCATCTCTGCTGCCCAGGACCACAGTGATCATTAGAAACGCCTTCAGATGCGTGGAGAGGCTGAGATGTCTCATTGGCATGGCCTTGAGTCCTTTTACCATCTCAGCCCTCTCCTTTTTCCTGCTCCGTTTAGTCACTGTCCTCTTAAAGCGAAGCTGGTATCCAGCTTTTGACAAAACCAGTGAACAGGTCTAACCGGTTCTGAGAGGAGCAGGACTATCGCCTCACCACATCTCCAACCTCCCAGATGCCACGCAGCCCACGGTCCCTCTGCAATTGGAGACACGCACTTAGCTGGCCATAGGGCAGGTGTGTTAGGTCTGTGAGCACAGGCTGGGTGGCCTAACAACAGACATTTACTTTCTCATAGATCTGAAGGCCAGAAGTCTGAGGTCAAGGTGTCGGCGGGTTGGTTCCTTCCGATGCTCCCCTCCTTGGCTGGTAGATGGCTGCCTCACATGGTCCCTCTGTCCCTGTTCTGTGTCCCAATCTCCTCTTCTTATGGGGACATTAGTCATATTGGATTAGGACCCACCCTAATGACCTCACTTTATTACCTCTGTAATGGCCCCGTCTCCAAATACAGTCACATTCTGGGGCACTGGGGTTAGGATATATGAATTTGGGAAAACACAATTCAGCTCATAGGAGCAGGAGGGAAACCATATTGGACACAGCCCTCTCTTAAGATGATACGTTCCTGCCTGCTCTGCCCCTCCCCTTTTTTCCCCAAAAGGCTGTTCTTCTAACCAGCAGTGATGGACTAGTTTATGTGGTTCTTTTCCACTCTTCTCAGTCCCAGGTTATACTGGGCTCCTAACACACACCACCTCATCAGATGTCTGCTTGGGTGGAAATAATTAAGGGCCTGCTCTTTAAGACACTGATCCTTCACGTCTCTAATCCCACTTAATCTTTACAACCACCTAGGAGACCAGGGTCACCATTCCCATTTTATAGATGAAGAAACTGAGGCTCAGAACAATCACATAACTTGTCCCAGCTCAGCCCTCTGGGAAGAGGTAGAACTGGGATTGGACCCCAAGTCCTGACTTTGAATCCAGTGTTCTTCCCACCACACCAGCGGCAGGTCTTCCAAGGTATCAAATTCTTTAAGGCCTCAGGAGCTCAAGCCCAAGGAGGGGTGTAGGGGTTAGAGACCTGGGTTGCCTGCAATTGGGGAATATCAAGCATTCATTCACAAGGATCCCTGATTCCCCCAGGAAATGTTGGAAGGAAGCACGCTGTGCTCCAAACTTTCCCAGTGGGCTCCTCAGGGAGCCTTGGTCTTGTCGTGTGTGTGTGTGTGTGTGTGTGTGTGTGTGTGTGTGTGTGTGTGTGTACATGAGGGCCCCACAGTGCTCAGCAATAGGGAGATAGGAGGTATAAGCGCTCCCCACCCTCAAGAAGGCTCAGAATGTTTTTTCAGGGTCAGAGTATCCTTGTCCACCCCAGGGCTGCAGAGGACGACTCAGAGGACGGCCAGAAAGACTCCTCTCTCCCTCAAGAATCCCTAAGCTTGCGGGGTGCAGTGAGAAATGCAGGCCCCTGCCACACCCGGGCTCCCCCACCTCCTCCAGGAGGAAGAGGGGCCCCTCCTCTGAGTAGCTTTTCCCTGCCGCTCTCCTCACACACCCACTCCTCTCGCTGTCCTTCCTTCCCCCGCTCACCCCCCTCTCAGCTCCTCGCTGTCTGACTTATGTGTGCAAGAGACATCTGAGCTAAAAGGCCTCCCACTTAATTCATTACAAGTAAATTGAATGATATTGAAAGATGTCTCTGGTCAGCAGGATTTTCCTGCCTAAACTAGCTGCCTCAGGGTTGGCAATTATCGGTGCTTAATAATTGTGTGTTGAACTAATTGATTAATTAATTGTGGGAGAATCCTCGATCTCCATAAGGGAAATAACTACCTCTGGCCGGGGAGAGGCTGGAAGGGCAGCAATAGACAAGAGCAGGCTAGGATTTCTGCTTGATAAAGATCTAAGATTCCTGTTATATTTTAAAAGTTACCTAATTATAATACCACACAGCTAATACTAAGGGAAAGGAAAGTCATGCCCTGCCCACTCCCAAAGGCGACCACACTCAAATCTGTTAGTTTCTCCTGGCATTTTCCTCCACATTTCTTCCTACAACTATAAGGATGTTCCGTTTCATGAGGAGCAAAGGTTTTTCTTCTGTTTTCTTTGCTTCCTGCATTGTTCCTTTTGTCTATTTGTCTGCTTTGGTCTCCTTTCATGTTAGAGCCTTCCTGTTAGAAGTCTTCTTCTAACAAGTCTTCTTCATGTTAGAATCTTCTTTCATCTTAGAGCCTCATTTCAAATACCTGGTGCTCCTTGGCCACCTGCTCAGATTTTACCATGAGCCCCAGAAAAGCTGGCTGGAAGCCTGGGTGCAGGGATAGATGCCAGGTGTGTTGACTGATGGGATCCTCAAATATCAGAATCTGTAGGTCTTTCCTTCTGAGCTCTCAGTGTCCCCGAAAGGAACCCTCCAGAATCCTGCCGCAGGGAGTATAGTCTGGGAATCTGCATTCTAGGAGCTGAGCAAGGAAGAGAGCAGAGGGTCTGATCCTTCACAGGAAGAGCTCTGCAGGATCCCCGTTTCCCATGGGACCCCATCCTCAGCTTAGAATCCCTGTGTCCACAGCCTGTGTGGGCCAACCTTGCTAAACTGCCAGTCTTGGGAAGCCATCTGTCTATTTGAAAAGAGGGCACAAAAATCTGGGGTCTACTCCCCTCTTTTCTTTTTTTCAATCCTCGCCGAGGATATTTTTCCATTGATTTTCAGAGAGAGGGTGGGAGAGGGAAAGATAGAGAGAAATATCAATATGAGAGAAACACATCGATTGGTTGCCTCCTGCATGTGCCCTGACCAGGGCCTGGGCTTGAAAGGAGCCTGCAACCAAGGTACATGCCCTTGACTGGAATCGAACCTGGGACCCTTTGGTCCGCAGGTCGATGCTCTATCCACTGAGCCAAACCGGCTAGGGCTAATTCTCTCTTTCATACGTTTTCAAATAGTGCTTACTCTGTTTCATCACACCTGCACCTTGGCCTTCCGAGGTTCCTGCTGTCTCTGATTCCTGAGCTTTTCTGAGGTTACAGAGCAACCTGATGTCTTCCCACACTCCCTTGCAGGCACTTAGCATTGCTGAGAAAGCAGAAATCTCAGCAGTTCTGTTCCTCCATCTGCTTTTCCTTCCAACAGTGACATCTCTCATCCTCTATAGCAGGGGTCCTCAAACTTTTTAAACAGGGGGCCAGTTCACTGTCCCTCAGACCATTGGAGGGCCGGACTATAGTTTAAAAAAAACTATGAACAAATTCCTATGCACACTGCACATATCTTATTTTGAAGTAAAAAAACAAAACGGGAACAAATACAATATTTGTATTTGCATGTGGCCCGCGGGCCGTGGTTTGAGGACCCCTGCTCTATAGTCTCCTCCCCCATTCCTTTTGTCCTTATACGTTTATATCTCCCCCCCTTTACTCTGGTATTAGGTGGGTTTGGGAAAGAAGTAGAGATAAATGTATGTTCCCAGATCACCATGTTTAATCATAGTCTCTTTGTTTTTCCTCAGCACTTTATTGTGTACCAATGTGAGAGCACTTCGCACCTGATACTTTAGTTCCCTGCTTTACCTTGTCTCTCTCCCCAGTAGACTAGGAGGACAGAAATCAAGTCTTAATCATATTTTTATATCTTTAGTGTCTAACAGTGCCTGGTATGTAACAGCCACTCAATAAATAAATGTGTGCTGAATAACTAGATAAACAAATTGGCCTCAGTCTGCCCATCTCTAAAATGGGGCTTTGGTATCATGATGTCCAACTTTCTATGCTTCTGTGGTTGGGGAGAAAGTTCCACTAAGGAAACAGGGCGGTCCCTTAGGCCGTAGCCACAGTGCCACTTCCAGGAGAGAGTGGCCTTTGGATTGCATCTCAGAAGCACCACCTATGCTGTCTTTCCTCCTCTGTTTCAGGGAGCAGTGTGTGCCCAGCCTTGCCCACCAGGGACGTTTGGCCAGAACTGCAGCCAGGACTGTCCTTGCCACCATGGAGGACAGTGTGACCACGTGACTGGGCAGTGCCACTGCACAGCGGGATACATGGGGGACAGGTAAGGATGATGTTAACTCTTGTCCTTGCTGTTCATGTCACTCATTTGCACAGCAGCCTTGCAGAGAACAGCTGATATTTACCAGCCCACAGCATCCTCCTGCCAGCTTGCCCATTCCTTTCTGAGAGAGCATTCTGAGTCCTGCCAGGGAGATTTATCAACTCTTCCTTCCTCACCCTTGGGCTGCTGAATGTAGCCCCTCCCCCAGCCCAGGGACCTGAGCCCTGAACTTGCATTGACTCACCTGGGGGAGCAGGTGAGCACCTACCATCCACTCTCTACTTTCTGCCCTCCTGGAGGGAGGCAATGGCACCAATAATGCACAGAAGCCAAGAGTGCCAACTCATTTCACACATTTTGCACCATTTCTTCTAGAAGTGGATTTGTATTCCTGATGTGAGTTCTGCCATCAGTTGGCATCCTCTGAAGGCCTATGGTCTGAAAGCAGACTGAACAAGGACACCAGTGTCCTGGGATCAAACCAGCCTTGCAGAGTGGATAATCCACAAAACACATAACTAGGAAATAACCGCGTGGGCACATTTGCCACAGTAGGAAGGATGCCATGATAGGATAGGGTGCTATGGAAGAATGAGAAACAACCAGTGGGCGGGACCAGGAATGTTCCAGTGTCTGGTGGTGAGTAGACTCAGAGCTGGAAGAGGCCATTTGCCCACAAGACTGGGGTCAAGCCTCCTTCCTTGCACTCCCATCCACATGTTTCTCTTTGGGCAGAGAGAGGAGGCCCTCAAACCCCCTGCCTGGTTCTGGGGACCCATGTTTCATCTCTGGCCCTGGATTTGCTTGCTCTGCCCAGACAAGGTGGGATGAGAGGAACGTTTGTCTGCCATTCCTCCGCCTCCCCTGTCCAGGTAACATTAGGAAGCAGAGACGGGGCAGAATCAACCAATGAGTCCTTCTGCCTCTGACCGACATAACTGGGCTCCTCCAACTCTCACTAGAGTCAGCCCCAAATGCTTGTTGATGGCCATGGGGTTGCTTTCACCTCTTTGTGAGCCAGGGTTTATCTCCATGAGCTCCCCAAGCGCAGAGCATGGGGTGTAACAGCTGGGGACCCATCCCGCCATGATCGCTGTCAGAGACTGGGTCCCTACGGGCAGGAGGGGAGGAAGGACTGAAGCACTGAGCCCACCTTCCCATCCTCACCATCTCCCCCAGGAAGGAGACTCTCAGGATGAGCCAGTAGGGACAGGAGCGGGAAGTCGGGAGCCAGGACAGGACCCCTTTGTTTCAGCCACTTTCACAGGATGGGGAATGTAACCCCCTTGTTGGAGAGGAGCAGGCCCAGGGCTCCAGCTGACTGGACTCAACACCAGTGGACCCTGCTTCCTTGGCACTCTCCATTTTCAATGCCAGGATGTCCCAAATGGAGAAGTCATCCATCCCTCTTCTTGTTGGGGTCCAGCCCTTGACCTTGGAGTGGAGAGAAATCTCAGAAGCCTCAGGGTCCTCTAGCCAGCTTCACCAATCGGACAACAGAGAAGAGTTCAGTAGAAGGACCGGGTAACACTGGGTTTCCCACCACAACGGGCTGCCTGGTGTTTAATATTTTGTAAAATTGCCTCCATGAATTTTGTCGGTGACAGCTGCATTAACCCACCCCACATCATCACGAGCATATTAAAACTGAGTGGGTGTAATAACGCAGGCCTCCCCGGATAGGCAGAATCCAGTGCAAATTAAACACGAAAACGTAACGAGGGCTTTGCAGCTCATTTTGTAATTTAATTGAGCAATGTATCTGGTTGTTAATGGCAATATCAGACACATTAGATTGATATGTTGCAAAGGAAGGATGTTTAAGTAGAAAACTAATTCCTGCTGTGATTACCCTTCTGTTCCGCAGGCCCCGTTATTAGCGTGCTTTGTGTAAAATTCATTAGCAGTCGTTGCTTGATCTCTAAATAAATAAGTTATTTAAATTGTGAGTACGGAAAAAAAGAGGCTGATTATGTAAATGGATTAGGTTGTCAATATTTCATTTCCAGATCCTTTTTCTGGGCTGTGGAGTCAATCACTTCATAAACATGGCAGGTGGGGAAGTGCCCTGCAGAGGAGGCTCCCTGTCCAGGGATCTGCCCTTCCTGCTGGTGGGCGGGGCCAGGAATGTTCCAGTGAAAGGGAAGAAGGGTCAGGGCGCTTGGGTTTCTTCCCCTGACCGGCTGAGACATCGGAGGGGAGCCAAGCCCAGTGACTCCTGGAAAAATCCATTCTGAGGCAGAACAGGGCTGGCGATTCATATAGGGATTTTTTTTCCAGCTCTTCAATGTTCTGCGTCCTCCCCTTCTGCCTCAGTTTCCCTCCTTGCCTCCTGCCTCCTTCCTTTTGTGATGAGGAAGCAGACGCCGGAGCTGTAGGTTCTCCGTCTCCCCCCCATCGAAGCAGCGCCGGGACAAGGATGATCCAAAACCCCAGCGGCTGTTTCTGCTTGTCTCTGGGGCGCAGGAGTTGCCCACTTCTGTACCCCGGGTTCACCCCTTAACTTGTCAGGTCCAGTTGCTGTGACGGTGAAATTGCATCCCCTGGGCATAGCCCTGGGGTGGGGTGAGGGGGTCTGGCATGTGCAGGGAGTTGGGGAGCAGGGGTCACACCCTCTCACAGAGGGTTCACAACCAATGGCTGTGAGTCCGAGTCAAATAATTACCATTAGGCCGGGAGCTCCAAGTACCAGGCCTGAGCAGAGGCAGGACACAGAGAGAGCCTAGTCCTTTTTTTTGGGGGGGGGGGCTCACCAGCGGATGGGAGAGGCTCAGCCCCTGCCTTGAGGGGACCCTCCGTCCAAGGAAGAGGAAGTCTCCCGTCTGATGGGGAGGGGAATTCTGTAGTCAGATGAAAGAGGCTGCCTCCTGTGCTCCCGGGGAAAGCCCACCTGGCAGAGGAGACACGCCCCCCGCGTGAGAAAGGGAGACCGCACACCCGCCCAAAAGACGCGGAACAGCAGACAGAGAATGGACATGAAATTACCCCATTTCATCAAATCCAAGGTGCCACCGGTTATAAAGCGCATCATTATTTTATATTCTGCTAAGAATGAAAACACTGGTAATTGCACTATGACATGCCATCAGCTATAAGACTTAACTGATTTCAGAGATGTTCAAATGCGGAATGGACATGAAATTACCCCATTTCATCAAATCCAAGATGCCACCGGTTATAAAGTGCATCATTATTTTATATTCTGCTAAGAATGAAAAACACTGGAAATTGCACTATGACATGCCATCAGATATAAGACTTAACTGATTTCAGAGATGTTAAAATGCACTTTTAAAAGGTAAGGTTTAGTGTTTAACGGGTAGAGAGGTTTCACTTTGGGAAGAGGAAAACGGTCTGAAGACGGATGGTGGTGATGGTTGCACAACAATATGAATGTACATAATGCCACTGAACGGTATACTTAAAGTCAGGGGTCCTCAAACTTTTTAAACAGGGGGCCAGTTCGCTGTCCCTCAGACCGTTGGAGGGCCGGACTATAGTTTTAAAAAAAACTACGAACAAATTCCTATGCACACTGCACATATCTTATTTTGAAGTAAAAAAACAAAACGGGAACAAATACAATATTTGTATTTGCATGTGGCCCGCGGGCCGTAGTTTGGGGACCCCTGCTTAAAGTGGTAAATTTTATGTAACATGTTTTATTGCAATCAAAAAATGAAAAAAACATAAGGCCTATGATCAATGAAATGTGATGGTGCAAATTCAGTGCGGGGGACCAGGGGGGCCTGGCACGAAGGGGGAACGGACAGTCCCGGCGGGCCGGGATGCCAACGAGTACTTTCTGGAAGAGAGGGAAGGGGAGGAGGCTGTGGGGGGTGCGTGCTGGGTGGATCTGGGAGGGCAGGTGAAGGGCACGGCCTCAGCCCTGTTCTGCTGTCCCACAGGTGCCAAGAGGAATGCCCCTTCGGGACCTTCGGCTTCCAGTGCTCACAGCACTGCGACTGCCACAACGGGGGCCAGTGCTCACCCAGCACCGGTGCCTGCGAGTGTGAGCCGGGCTACAAAGGCCCACGCTGCCAGGAGCGGCTGTGCCCCGAGGGCCTGCACGGCCCAGGCTGCACCTTGCCCTGCCCCTGTGATGCTGACAACACCATCAGGTATGAACTGGAGATAGGGGTGGGGTGGGCATTGGTTGGGAGAGGGCTTCTCGGGGCCCAGACCCTCACCTGCAGCCCGGTCATCCAGGCAGGACAGTGGAAGAACTGGGACCTCAGCAACCGTCTTTGCTGACCACTTTGATGAAAAGAAGGGAAAGCCCAGGCCTCACAGACAGTCAGAACCAGGACCCAGGTCACCTGCCTCTGTCCACCACACGAGGCAGTCAGCATTGAAAATGCTATAGGGAAAAACCCTGCTGGAGGGAGGACATTTGCCACAGAACTCAGTGCACCAAACAGGACATAAGGACTCACAGGGGTTTTGAAAATGCTGCACATAATGCTGATAAACATTTTGTATGCAGACGCCAAAGTTAACTGATTTAAAAGTTGATTTACTTGTTATTAAGTTCTCTAGAGCTGCGCAACTAGTGTTTTGATTTGTTGTGTTTTTTAGTTTGGGGGTCTCTTTGTTTTCCCCAACATGATTCTGCATTCATCTATTTTAAAATTAAAAAGAAAAAAAAATTTTAAAAAAAATTAAAAAAAAAAAAAGAAAATGGGCTAACCTGAGACCCCTACGCCCAGGAGCAAGGAGGAGTCTGAGACCTTCAGAGGAGTGGGGTGGGGGTGGGTAAAGCCACACGGTCCTTGGAGGCCGGGATGGCAGGCTCCGGTGCCACAGGCCCTGGGGAATTGTCCTGGAGAACATTTCACCTCCACACGCTCTGCATTTAACCAAATGCTTCCCCAGCCCCACGGTGCCCAGAGAGAGGACTGCCCGGGCAGAAGCAGGAGCCACAGAGGCCGGTAGTAGGCGGTGTGGCTCTGCCCAAGCCAGTTTGGCTCAGTTGTTAAGAGTGTTGGCCCACAGACTGAAGGGTCTCAGGTTCCATTCCCAGTCAAGGGCATGCACCTTGGTTGCAGGTTAGATCTCCACCTTCTGTCGGGCACTTGCTGGAGGTAACCAATCAATGTGTCTCTCTCACTTCAATGTTTCTCTCTCCATCCCTCTCTCCCTTCCTCCCTCCTTCCCTTCTCCCTCTCTTCCATTCTCTCTAAAAATCAATGGAAACAATATCCTTGGTTGAGGATTTATATTTTTAAAATATATTTTTAAAATTGATTTCAGAGAGGAAGGGAGAGGGAGAGAGAGATAGAAACATTAATGATGAGAGATTCATTGATCAGCTGCCTCCTGCATGTCCCCTACTAAGAAATGAGCCTGCAGCTTGGGCATGTGCCCTGACTGGGAATCAGACTGTGACCTCCTGATTCATAGGTCAACACTCAACCACTGAACCACACTGGGCGGGCCTTGGGTGAGGATTTTTTTAAAAATCAGTGAGGGCTGTCCTTAGCTAGGGAGGAGGGACAGGAGGGACAGGAGGGACAGAGGACAGGCCCTTCATTGGGGCCTTGGCTTGAAGCCAGCCTCTCCCTGCTCTGTGTCTTTGGGACTTGGGGACACCTGGGCTGAAGCTGGCCCCACCCCTGCTTCCAGAGGAGCCTGAATCTGGAAAGCCGAGCTGCCCTGGGGCACCTCTCTGGCTCCCTTCACTTCCTGCTTCGCACCAGCTGGCACCATCTTCTGATATAAATGAGGCTGATGGTCCCCGACAAATGCCTCCACAGCCCTTTATGTGGCTGCCTCTCATCTGGGTGGTAAAGTGTGGGGAGAGCTCCCTCCTCCCCTTGGGCCTGCAGGACAGCTCAGGGGAGGACTGGCCGCTCGGGGCAGTGCAAGCTGCTGCTGTTTGCAGCCCTGTCTCTGGGACAGCCAGGACTTAGCCTCAGACCCTCTTCATTTCCAGCTTCTGATTCTCCACAAATCACCCAAGAGCCTCTGGCCAGTGCAAACAGAGGCATCTTAGGGAGCGTTATGGCTTAGATGGAATCTGTCCTCAGTCCCAGTCCCTGGAGCTGAGCGGCTGGGGTGCTGCTGC